TCTCCCTGCCATTGCGCTTTCTTCCCTCAGGGCTAAGCAGAAACCAATCTCACCTCCTTTTTGGTGGTTTAGGCCACCATTCCTTCCTGGTGAGAGCTGCAGACCAATCTTCAGAGGATGTGCAGTAAGGGATTCGTGTCCTGTGCTTCAGCTTTGATGTCAGCTGAAAACTCCGTGTAAACACTCCCATTTTTTCCCATGTGTCTTATGAAGGGGCAGGAAGCTCAATTGTGCATGCTCATGTCTCTCCTTCTAAAGATACATTCATGACTCTTGCCATAGTTTGTCAAACATGTATATCCAGCCACCTTGCTCAGCATAAATTCTGGTTTCTTGACATTTCCTTAAAGTACGCGCTCTTGGCTTCTGCTCGAGGCTGTTGCTTCCCAGCCTGTCAGAAAGGCCGCCCTGCAGGCTGCGGCCCTTTGTGAGAAATCAAGCTCTCCTTTCCAAGTTTATGAACCTCATCATTTCTTCACTTAACAGTATTTAGCCTTTGTTTTCAGTGAATAGGAAATGCAACTGTGCCAGAAAATAGAGAAAAACAAGGCCACCACAATTTCATAGACCACTGCTAATGACTTTACCTCAAAAGCAAGTATTCTTTCTTACATCAAAAGTATTGACCCAGGCCGGGATGCGACTGTACTCCTAGCACTCTGGGAGGTAGAGGCCGGCGGATCGCTCAAGATCAGGAGTTTGAAACCAGCCTGAGCAAGAGCGAGACCCCGTCTCTACTAAAAAAAAAAAGGAAAGAAAGAAATTAATTGGCCAACGAAAAAGAAATATATATATATATATATGTGTGTGTGTGTGTGTGTATATGTATATATATGTATATGTATGTATATGTATATGTATGTATATGTATGTATGTAGCTGGGCATGGTGGCGCATGCCTGTAGTCCCAGTTACTTGGGAGGCTGAGGCAGTAGGATTGCTTGAGCCTAGGTGTTTGAGGTTTCTGTGAGCTAGGCTGATGCCATGGCACTCTAGCCCGGGGAACAAAGTAAGGCTCTGTCTCAAAAAAAAAAATAAAAAAGTATTAACCCATTATTTAAAGTATGCATTTTAATTATTTAATAATCATTGCACATTTGTGATAAAATCCTCTTACATGTCAATTTGTGCTTTTAGATAAATCTCAACTAAATAATTTAGATTGTACTTAAATATTTGACATTTTAAATACTAGTTATTGATGCTTAAACTATCAAACATCAATAAATTTTTTAAAAATTGCAACATTAAGGGCAGTGTTTACTTTGGGGACAGGAGGGAGTTAGAATGCCAAACAATGTGTTCTAAGGATTTTCCTAAGTTTATTCAAATTTTATAGTTGAAACGGTACCTCCACACACAATCTATCATTAAATTGTACTATTAAAGGAGAGACAAACAAAGACCTAGGTAAAGTGGTCCCAGGAACTACATTTGGGAGCTATATTTCAATTTACTCATCTGGAATTACTTATACACATTGTGCTTAGACGGCTCACATAAAGGAAAAGTATACTGTAACATAGTTAATAAGTCCACAATCCTTTGAAGATCGGAGATCATTTCAAGAAGATCTCTGTTTGGTTTGGGCTTAAAAAAAATTTAGATAAATCACTTCCCGTCCTTCAGGCTTTTCATAAACCATAGACATTTCATTGTTTTAGGATTTAGGCTATAACAGGCTTGTGTAGTAAAATGATACCAGTGATTTAAATCATGGTGGCCAGCCACAACAGAACCCCCTAAAGTAGGGTAGCTTTTTGCATCATCATTTTCCAAGGGCTGCTGTGATGGTTTAACACTTGCTGCCTGAGTAATTCCCTGTGAATCAGCAGCATCAACTTTATTTTTTTAGAGGTAAACTTCATCCTCTGTGGCCTAAGTCCTGCAGCAAATGAAGGGTGCTCTGAGTAGAGCTCACAACTCAGAGTACATCAAGAGTTTGATCACTGGACACCTGAGCCACCAATTGGACTTATCCTATATGAGAAGAGATGCTTAACATAAGCAGAGTGATTTTGTAAAACCACATTGTAAGAACATAGTGAAAGACAAATGAATATTGTCTCCCTAAAGCAATCTCCGTAAATCTGTGGATATCAGATATTTTATCTACAACAACTTCTATTTTATCTACAACTATTTTAACAGTTAAAAATATAAAAGCAAAGAAAAGCATTTTATGCAACTACTCAGTATATCACAGAACAATGCTACATGTGACACCCTTGGATATTCTTTGTTTTATTGTTTTTAATTAAAAACATTCTGGTCAATACTCAGTAAACGTGTCTCATTGTTCGCATATTGGTTACTTCCCACATTTTAGAAAAATGCTGCTTTTAATAGAGGCTGCTTTGAATAGAGACGGCTTTTACAGATAATCTTAAATGATTGCAGCCAGCCTTGTTCCTTACTTGATTTAGAGTTCCTCTGTTGGAATCACATTAAAGGTTAGTTCATAAGTCATAGAAAACAACTAAAAATATTTTATTTAGCTTGAGTTCCCTTTTTATTTACCAGGGAATACTGTATATGGCTATAAGTTACGTTAGTCAAGTCAAAGAACAAAAATTGTTACGGTTGATTTCGTTCAGAAGAATGCGAAGATGGAGTGTTAGAATTTAGAGTCAAAGGAATCGTAAGAGGTAATCCAGGCCAGCCTGCCCATCATGCAGAGGCCTGGAGAAGAAATAGTTGTGATTTTAAAGAATGGATCATGGTAGTTCTATGTGGTTATATCTTAATAGAATATATTTTAAAATACTATCTTCAAAGGGCCGGGGTGAGCGGATGCTTTTGGTCTGAATGATGGAGTAGACTAACATCCAGGTACCATTGGCACAGTAGGGTATTTATGTTCTTGTGACTTTCTTGGCCATGGTTGCTAGGGCAACTCTGAAATATGTGCTTGGCTATTTCAGCCTGAGCCTAATCATAGTGTATATAATATAAATTTAAGACAACCAATTTAGGAAAAAGGAGAGTTAACATCTAGGAAGCCGAGGAAGAGGACTGTGACTATGCTTGGGCTGAAGTTGTGCATGGTCTGTGCACTTCCTGTCCTACCTAGGCATGGGGTAAGGAGCTTCATCCTCACGTCGGAGCCTTCCAATGCCTAGGAAAGCGAGAGAATAGAAATGAACTTAACATTTATAATCAAAACCTTTTCCCTCCTAATATATAGAAACTCCAGAAATAATCACATTTATTTTTTATAAAATTATTAACATTATTTAAAATTGTGTTTTATTTTTAAATAATTGCATACATTTGTGGAGTAGAGTGTGATATGATGATACATGTGTATACATTGTGGAATGAGGCTAATTAACATACCTATCACCTCACATTTTTTTTGTTGTGAGAACGTTTAAAATCTATTCTCTTAGCAATATGGAAATATAAAGTGCATTATTTTTTTTTTAATTACATGCCGTAGCATGTAATAAAATGTGTTATTATTGACTCATTCCTCCTGCCTAAATGAGCTTTGTACCCTTTGACTTATATCTTCCCTTTCCCTGTCCATCGCTCCTCCCATCCACCCACTATTTCACTCTCTGCTTCTATGAGTTCCACATTTTGAGATTCCACATATAAATGAGATCATGCAGTATTTGTCTATGCCTGGCTTATTTCACTTGGCATAATGTTCTCCAGGTTCCTCCATGTTGTCACAAATGACAGAATTTCCTTTTTGTTTTTTTTTAAGGCTGACTAGTATTCCATTGTGTATATATATACCACATTTTCTCTATTCATTCATCCATTGATGAGCATTTAGGTTGTTTCTATATCTTGCCAATTGTGAATAATGCTGCCATGAGCAGTAATTACGTTTATTTTTGCTAGACACCAAGGTAGGCCTTTCTAAGTGCTTCAGACTTTGGGAAAAATTGTAGTATCTCACTTTCTCTTAACAAATATTTACAAACACTGTGATCTTTTTTGGTTAGTTTCATAGGATTGAGCACTCTTTTGGGAATCCAGATGATAAAATTCCCTTTCCATCCACCTGGTGTTTTCTATGAAATAGTCAAATTGCACACACCTACGATATATGGCATGCTTGTCTTAAGCTCTGTGGTTTATCATACAAAGTTAATTCTAATAAAATGGTAGAAAGGAATATACTTTTTTTTTTTTTTTTTTTTCACAAACATGGCCTAGTGCCTGTTTTTGTAAATAAAGTTTTATCGGAACACAGCAATGCCTGTTTATTTGTATATTATTTCTGGTTGCTTTCACTTTACAATGACAGAATTGAGTAGTTGCTATAGAGACAGTGTGACCTGCAAAACCTGAATTTACTGTCTGGCCCATTACAGGAAAAAATGTTTGACAATTCCTATACTAAAGGAGTACTTAGAAATTTAAGTATTGTTCTTGATACAAACTGATGTTTGAATGGTTTAGGTTTTATCATGGCTGTTTTCTCTTAAATTGCATGAAAAAAAATCTTCTGTTATAATTGATGACAATTTATAACTAGATTTGGTAAGGAAAAGTGCCTAGAATCTGCCAGGTGATTGGTGTCCAATTTTTTAAATATGAAAGATCATTAAAATTCATTGTACATTCCTTAATGCTGAGAAGACAGCTAATGAGGCATATGTAAAAAATTACACCGTGGCATGCTTATGATTTAACTGTGCAGTGAAGGTTGGTTATATTATTTCTGCTGACATTAAGTGTTTTGATAGTCTTTATAATAATTGTGAATTGTAATTAATTTTTACATTAAAATATCAATCTTTTTGAGCTCTTACTTGCTACAGACCAATAAGGCTAAACTAGGAGTCACTTGCAAAGAAACCTCATATTTCTTGTGTTTAATAGTTGTTAGTTCAGTGTTTCAAAAGTGAGTGTTTAATCATACTATATCTTGGTCACAGAATTTTAACAATAAAATGTGAGGGCTGTAGTGCTCCATACCAGGTCAGTAGTTTAAATATGTATCTTCTAACATGTGGTTATGTTTTCATCTTTTTTAACAGACTTGTGGAAGAAAGCAAACTGATCCCACTCATTTTTGAAGTAATTCTGGTAAGAAAGCAAATGTGCGTTTGAAATTCAAGTGAAATTTTGAAGATTTTGGCTGAGTTGTATAGTTGATTTGCTAATCCTGATTCTACTCCTAAGTATTGTATGTTCTTTATTGTTTGTCTTAACCTCTTCAGACTATAGCTTTCTTATCTGTAAAGGGATGTCAAGCTCTGAAATTTTATAGGGACACTGTTTAATGACCTACCCTCTTCTTACAAATCCTGTAGATTTGAGTTTTATGGTATTAAACAATATGCATTTTCTAACATAGAATACTTTATCTGAGGCTGGCTTGTGGAGGGAGGGCATAATGATTATGGTTACATTTTAGTATTACTTTTGTGATGTTTAATATGAATTATTTATATTTATATTATTATATCATTGTTTGTAGTTCTTGGGTACCAGATCAGTACTTTTATGCCTATGGTTATATGGTTGTCTTCTTCAGAACTTAAAGTAGCTTAGCTTCCATACACCATTTTTCTATTCATAGAATACAATTTAATAGATAACCAACTGTTAAAGAAAATCTTTCATCTATGTTCCTTATTTGTAGAGAATAAAATGGGGTACAGAGTTGACTTTCTTCAATTCTACTAAATATAGATCTGTGAATTAGGCTGAAAATTGAGTTGTGGTTATAGCAAGGGAGTGCCTGTGGCCAAAGAAAGATTCTGTTATATCTTGGTTTGTTATCCCCTTTTACCAAGAACTTTGCCTCCATAGCTCGCTGATAGCATGAGGGACAAAGGAAGGGTACACTTCCCCAGCCAGATAGATCAGCCTAACTTACCTTGGCCATCAATGGAGCATTAGCTGTAATAGTTTGATAACCCTACCAATGGGAAATAACCTTTCTGTAATCATCTTAAAATATTAATCTACAAATATTTTTGCATGTGCTATTTATGCCCTTATGGCGAAAGCTTTATTTTTCTTAGCTGCAGATCACCCTTTCCCTTTCAGGAGAGCTTAGTGGGTTTGCTGAGCTGTTTGCAGTGGATGGAGTGCAGGGGTGGGAGTGGGTAGTGTTCCCAGAGCATGCTCAGGTGACAGGATGACAGTCACCTGCCTTGCTGAATGAAATATGCAAGGTTAGAGCCTGGATTGAATTGCTTAGAATAGAAAAAGGGGATTTTAGAGACAGCATAAGAACATGGGATAGAGAAAAGCGAGATAAAGAAATGTGTAGATCAAGAGCTGTCTAATGGGGATTTTTGTGTTTTGCCTAGTGGTATGTATGTCTCCCCACCTTTGGTAAGATGCACATTACTTGCTGCTTTGTTATAGAGTTGTATTTGTTTTGGAGGACAATGGTGTAACAAACTGCTGAGTTTGGCCACATGGTTGGGCATCGGGCAAGAGTCAAAGCTCTCCAAATTCAGCCACTTTTGGCATGTATTTGGAAAGAGACTGATGTCATAGACATTCTAGAGCTAGAATGGGCCTTAACGGGTGGATGTGATTCATCCTCTTGCTTTGGCAGGAGAGCTTCCAACCTGCTAAGGTCACTACAGCACCTTTTATGACTGATAGAGAGTTCTCATTCTGTTTTTTGGTGATCATCTCAAAGTCCAAAATTCCAACATATAAAATTCCTTCTTGTAGGTTATCAAAACTCCTCCATACTTGATTAATCTTTGTATACTGAGCACCTAGCAAGTGTTTCTTATTTTACAAACCACCATAAATGTTTAATTAATTGATTAATGCCACAATTTAAACCCTTGTCGTTGTAGTATGGCTATTGTAGGGCGTGGCTGGAAGGTGACATCCGTTCTACGTGTGGAGATTATAGCTGGTCCCTATGGCCTCACAGGCATGTCTGGAATGATGTTCTCACTCTAACCAGAACAGCTCCATGCTCAGGTTTCTTATAGGATATTATTTTAAAAAGAGATCCTGCTGCTAAAAAGTAAAGAAGAAAAGTGTTTGAAATCACTGCTTTATGGGGCAGGGCTTTGATGTCCTTGAAGAACATTATTAAATTCCTATTTTACTTCTGTCTTTCTTGAGTTTAATGATCTCAACTTTTTTCTCTGAACAAATACATTTTTTAATCAATGAAATGTCTTTGTGGCAGTTATCCTGTGAACTATTAGCTTGCCCTTTTAAAATTTTTGTCACTGGGGTAGACATAATATAGTATTTTATTGATTCTATGATGCACATTTTTTTCAGATTTTAACATTTCTGAAACTGAGATATACTTTCCAAATCAGTGACATTTTACAATTGCCCACAGCCAGGTGAACTGGTTGTCATTGCCTTCACTAATTTATTTCACTTTTATTTTCCTTTTTATAAATGCCTAGGAGTGATATATTATAAAAATCTGTGTCTGAATAAGTCTAAAAGCTCTTTCAATAAAAAGTAAATAAAAATTCTAAGTAATAAGAAACCATGTCGTAGTTTAATTGGCCTCATTTTTCTTTCTTAGTACTTGATAAAATAATGGTGCATCTTAAGAACTGATAGATTTCTAGATTCAAGGAAACATAGTATATACTTCAATTTGTTTTTTGCTTTCTAAGTTTGAGGGCTTAGGAGGTGTCTGGCATATATATCCAGCAGCTTCTGGAATGATTTGATCAGAATGAGGCAAAATGAGAAGATTGTGTGGTACCCTGCATGCTTGGCTTACTACTTGTGCCTTCTAGCCACCCATTAAAAAAACAACAAAGCAGCATTTGACTCTTTCAGTTGGTGGACTCCAGTGACTTCTTGATGACTTTTTCTTTACTTTTAGCCCATAACTTTTCCAGCTTCTGTTTGATACACTTAACCCTTTGCACTCGCTTGCTTTTTTCTCATTATCCACTCGACATTATCCACACTCAACATCCGAGTGCAAAGGGTTAAAGCCTGCATTGCAGGCTTTGTAACATCCTTCTTCCTATCTGGAGTTCTTCCTATGATGGACTCTTCCCAGCAGTGTTCTCCTACATGCCTTTCATTAAGAAGGTGAGCCTCTTTCTTCTGATGGAATTGCAGGCAGCTTCTCTGTTTTTCCTGCAGGCATGGAGGCAAGTAAAGGTGAAGGGAACAGAATTCCGAATTTGACGTCCTGTTTGTACAAAAGAGCCATGTAGAAATCTTAGGAAGAGCAGACATTTCCGGAGCTGTATGATAGACCAATAGCTGCAAGCATGGATTCAAACTGGTTAAATAACCAATTGAAATTTTTTTTTTTTTATTTTTGAAAAAATATAAAAGCAATCTTCAGTTTCTCAGTCTACTTAGGGGACACGGGGCTGCTTTTGGTCTGAATGGCTAATGTGTAGGCCCTCTGAATTCATGTTGCAAGGAGAAAACAATGTGTAAACACATAATTGGGTAAGAACATACATAGTATGAGCTTTACGGAGGGAGGTATAGAAAGCTGTGGACCCTGAGGAGGGAGTGGGCAACTCTGCTGAGTGAAAGAGGGGAGTCTCACAGGAGTGACTTTTGAACAGGACCTTGTTGTGGGAAAAGGAGGAGTTATTTGGAGGGGGGAGGGAGGGGCAATCCAGCTTGGGGGATGGGAAGGCAGGGTTAGCATATGGAATGCTGAGTGTAGTAGTCTCTCTCGGTGTCTGAGAGGGATTGGTTCTAGGACCTTACCCCCCATACCCTAATCCCATGGTCCCCAACCCCAGGTCTGCTGCCACTGTGGAACCGGGCTGCACAGCAGGTGGTGAGTGGCCATGGGTGGGCGAGCAGGCAATAGAAGCTTCCTCTGTATTTACAGCTGCTCCTTTATAACCATTCTCTTCCCCCAGCCAGCCTTGGAAAAATTGTCTTCTGTGAAACTGGTCCCTGGTGTCAAAAAGGTTGGGGACCGCTGCCATAATCCATAGGTACTCAAGTCCCTTGTACATCCTCCTGTATGCTTTGAATCATCTCTAGGTGACCTGTAATACCCAATACAATATAAATGCTGTGTGAATAGTTGTTATACTGTACTTTTAAATTTTTAAATTTGTACGTTTTTGTTATATTGCTATTTTAAATTTTTTTCCCCAAATATTTTTGATCCATGGGAGTTGAATGTGGAATCTGTGTGTAGGGAAGGCCAAGTGCCCTTGGACGTGCTTAAGTACATGGAGCAGAGACCATGGAGAAGTGATAGGAAGTGAGCCTGGAGGATAGTTTGGGGGCAAAATCCTTTAGGGCTTTGTAGTGTGATCATTAGGTTTGCCAATAATTTATGCTTTTTGAAATCCTCTACTTTAAAAAAAAATCTTCTAACACTCCCGTGCTACAGGAGGTATGTGCGAGGAGGAGGTGGGCTGATCAGCCACAAGTTGGGACTCGGAGAATCAGGCTAGGGTCATGGGCACATATGGAAACTTGAGCGTCCGTGCTCCTTCAGTCACTAGGGAACTGAAATGGGGTGAAGGCTGGACTCTGGGAGCTCCTGCCAGTCTCCATCTGTGAGGCTTGAGGTCAGCTGAAGGGACTTTGGGGAAGGGAGCATAAAAAACAGAGCTGGCCACTCTCAGAGGTCTGATGTGAAATCCCAGGAGTTCTAACACCATGTTCAGGGCAGAGAACAGGCAGAATGTTTTCAATCCTGAGCTCCAGCTGCAACTTTCCCTGCTTTTGGCACACCACGCAGTGGAGAAAGCCAGGTGGCTGATTGCTTACAATCCATTGCTGTCACCAGAGATGGGTGCTACTCCCCTGACAGGGCCTACCTGGCTGAGAGCTCTGCATTTTCAGTGACAGCACAGGCAGCTTGTGTTAGCCAGGGAGTGGAGGCTCACGCATTGTGCACTGGATTAAGCTGAATGCATTTGTACCATGCATGGTCTTCAGGGTCTGTGTCACTAAGGCAGTCCAGATCTGCTTAGTAAATGCAGGTTCCTGAAAAACATGGCTTGGCTTTGGGGTGCAGAATTGCTGGATCTGTAGGATGGAGGACATTCTTTTTTTTTTTACTTTGCCACTTTCCAAAGAGTAGGAACTGCTTTTAAATGCATCTTAAGTGTGAATTTGGATGTATCAGCCTT